AACGACTGGGTCGGCAGTAAAATCCTCTTAAAGTGTTGTAAACGATGCTTGGGAGACGGCTAACGAGCCGAGTCGGATTCAAAGCTGCAGAGATCTTGGCATTTATCATAAATTTCATGGCAGTCGCCTCATAACTGCATAGCCAGCAAATTTCCAAAAGGGTGGAGCATTGGGGGATGGGGCGGGGCTGGCGTTCGGCATCCATTGCCGTGTCTCGAGGCAATAGGAAGCAGCAAAGTGCAACAATTGAATAGATAATAACTCACGCCCCACCTACCCACCCACCCAGCGATGCCAACCGGGCAAAAGCAACATAATAACCGAAATACTAGCCGAAAGCCACTGACCGTTGACCACAAAGACTCCCTATAAAAACGGCAAGAAGTTTGCCTAGCCGGCTCGTTGAATGCTCTTTAGACTGCATCTACTGGCTGAAACACATGTTACTGCTAAAAGGAAAGAGGTATGATTTAGTCGAGACTCCTTCTATGATTTGCTTTGAATGTGCTTCTTTTGTTTCCATTGATTGCTGCTACTACTTCCTCTATAGTAGTTCCTTTCCCATAAATGTATGTGTGGTGTGTGCCCAAGGCCTCCCCAAAACCGATGTACCCTCTCTGCAGCGCACAAATAAAAGCAACTACAAGGCCTGTTACTGTTTGGAGCTGGCGCTGTCATATTCAAATTGCTAATATGATTGGTGTTTACAGATTAGAAAACAAATATTTCACAAATATTACCACTAATAATTTTGCCATGTAAACATGGAGCGCAGGAGAGATCGGCGTCATTATCATCGTCGTGATGATCATGCCACATGATGAGGCCGCATAAATGCAGCAAGTGTGGCGATAACCTTTTGACTCCGATCCCCAGATCCTCCTCCCCCAGAAGTGGGTTTCGACTGGGTTTCGTTTTGTGCTAGTGCAAAACTGACAAATTGAATGAATAAAAGAGCAACAAGTGGTCTTGCGGCGGGCTGGTTAAACATTTTGAATGAAAATGCCGCGCTCGAGAGTCGGCCAGAGCATGTGGCATGTAGCATATAGCTAGCTGTGGCGGCCGAGGCGCAAAAACATAAATCGAAACACTTGCTGCGTGGCGTACACTGAGCGAAACTATCACTTTTGAATACGATTATAGCAATCCGATAGGGAACAACCTTGAATCCAAACCAAGCGAACGCTGTAATTCATAGTACTTCTTAGCAAACTCTAAAAAAGTCGTACATACACTTCAACCATTCCGATAGTCCGATTCCTAGATATATTCCCGAATTAGGTGGGATTTTTTCCAAGTGTCTAGTCGCCTCCCTTATGTTTCCTGCCTCAGTTTCAACCGCCCACCGATGGCGCAGCGGGCTGTTTTGTTTTTTGTTGTTTTGATCATTTGGTGGCTTGGTGATTTGGAGCCTTGGTGCTTTGGAGCCTTGGTGCTTTGGTGCCTTGGTAGGTGTTGCCTTGTGCCTCGAACTCGAGAAGAAGGAGGAGGAATAAACCCAAAGCCAGCAAGGCGTTCAGAGCCTGGAAATGAAGTCGAAAATTGCAATTCCAAAATGCTTGCCCTCGGCTACGAAAGTAACAACAAAAGTGGAGTGTGCAGTGCATCGGAGTGGTCAGTCATGTGGCATCTATTCCAGTTCGTACACATGTGGCATGGGTCCTCGGAATAGAGCCGGAGCTCTTCCTGCCTCTTTTCTGATTTCGGTCTGCCTGGATTCGTTGCAATGTTTTCTGTGGTGTGTGTCGTTTAATGCGTGGCCGCCTCGCAAGGCGCTTTATTAATTCACTCGACGGTTGTTTAATATTTTTACCTCTCCGCAATACTCTCATTTAGTGGGCTATAATACCGCAGAGATCTGTTTTGTTGCACTGAAACATTTAGGAGCACTTCAATGGGAACATCACATCTCTACTTAAGATACATGGTGAACTGGAACTAGGAAGATAATATGTTTAGTCATAAAAGATATGTAAAAAAAGATGTATTTCTCACATACCCTGGGAAACCATCAAGAAGTTAAAAGTCCTCTTAAATCGTACAGGAGTAGAGCATTTCTAAATCGACCTTTAATTGGGATTTGGAATCGCTGTCTCTTTTGTTGCGGGTGCGGGAAAGCAATGGTTGTTGTTTCTTTGTTCGCTCGTTTGTGGCATAAATCGGCCCCAGGTGCCTCGGCGAGCATTTCCCACGGATTAGCGCATAAATAAAGGAGGTCAGGGCAGCCCCAGAGTTAACTAGATATTTCAAATGTTGTGGCCCAGGGGTCGTCCTTCCAGGCCATTCATTTCTTTGCTTTTCAATAGCTACCCCTTAGATAGCACCGTCTTTTTGCAATCAGAGCGAATTGCTTTATTAGCCCATGTCGAACGGAATAACAGCTTAATTCGCACTAACAGTCAGTCCAAGGTGGTCCTTCTGGCATTTCCTTAAGCTCATTAACACCCCCTGAAAAATATATAAAAAGCAACTTTGGCTAAAAGCCACACGCGGCGGTTCTCACGCTGCGAAACAAAAGCGAGAGGCTCGACTTCAATTTAAGATTAGCAACAGTTAACACACAAAGGAACTGGCGGAAAGGCACCGGGATCTCATGATGATAGTGCCCTTAATAACAGCGGTCATCCTGCGCAAGGACCACACCAAAAGCCATCCCGCTGATAAGATGGCCAAGTGAGCGGTCTGCGTGCTGGCCGAGATCCCTTCATCGATAATCGCGCACTAAGCGTGCGTAAGTCACGTCACACACAGCTGAAATCGGAGGGACCAGTCCCGCTGTCCCGGGATGAAGATCATCCGAAGATGCCGGATCGGGAAGACCTTGCCCTGGGTGCGATCGCGATAAGCGCGACTTTTGCCTCGGTACGTGCTAAGCCCCTGGGCTGCGATCATTTTAATTATACCCTATATCGGCCCGACCGGCCACGCCCATCGGCTCCACATAGCCCCCCTGATCCGCCCCCTTCCTTCCCTTTTGGCGCTGGGGTCAAGCAACGCAAATTGCAGGCTGGGTCAATGTTTGTTTTAGCCAACCATAAATACTTAATTTGGGCAACGGTTTCGAGCTGACGAAAGCCTCGAAAAAGAAGGAAATAAAAGGGTTGGGTGCCCCTGCAGACCGAACCGAAAATACTCTCATGTTATTTAATCATATCTGTCAGATAAGTTTTTCTGCAACTGGTAGTGTTTTTGCAAGTGAAAGGTCAGTTAGCAGTTAGAAAATCCATCAACTATAGGTATTTGATGGGAAATATAGATGGTAGAAATATAGATACAATATCGAATACGTCTAATTTATTAAAATTCATGTAGCCGAAAGGGGCACACACGGGGCACAGTCAGTTGAGCGACTCTTCCTCCGGATCGGAATCGCGTCGCGAGGTGGGAGCCGATGCATCCACCTCCAGATAGTCGTGCACCAGCTGGCAGATGTTCTCGGAGGCCTCGTTGAAGTTGCCCTCCTCGAGTCCTTCGCCCACATAGTGATAGACGAAGGCCCGCCGCTGGTAGAGCTTGTCGAACTTGTTGACCAGGCGGCACCAGGCGATCCGGATGTTCGTGTTGTTCGAGATGGCCACGCAGGCGCGATTGGTGGGCGCCAGATCGCCGCCAGGAACATAATACGGCGGCATGGGGCTCACGCCGATCTTGAAGCCCGTGGGCGACCAGTCGACAAATCTGAAAGACCTGCTCCGCTTGATGTTCTCCAGCGCCATATTGATCTCATTGGGTGCGATGTCACCGCGGTAGAGCAGCACACTGGCCATGTACTTGCCATGCGAGGGATTGCACCTGACCATTTGGTTGCTCATCTGGAAACACTGACCCGTAAGCTGGGCCGTCGACATGTTGACGAACTGCGAATGCGAAATGGGCACCAGTGGCGCGTAGTTGATCAGCGGATAGTGGATGCGCGGATATGGCACCAGGTTCGTCTGCAGCTCCTGGAAACTCACGGTCGATCCGCCGCCAAAACGCTGTGAGGCAGTAAAGCTGGACACCACCTGTGCGATGATCCTATTTAGATTTGTATATGTGGGAGCAGGGACATTGAGTGTATTAGCACATATGTCGTATAGGGCTTCGTTGTCCACAATAAACGATACATCGGCGCAGTCCATGGAGAAGTGGGCAGCCAGCAGTGCGTTGTAGGGCTCCACAATAACCGGCGAGATTCTGGGAAAGCACACAAAAATGCAAGTATACCAATCAGAGCTTTTAAGGATTTCTCAACCTACGAAGGCGAAGGATACACGAGGAACTCCACGACCGTCATCTTCTTGCCAAAGTCCTCCACCAGTCTCTCCATGATGCGAGTGCCCAGGCCGGAACCAGAACCTCCGCCGATTGCTCGAAAGACCAGGAATCCCCTCAGATTTCTGCAGCGATCTGCCACGCGACGAATGGCATTCATGGAGCGATCCAACAGCTCGCTGGCCATCAGGTTGTAGCCCCTGGCGAAGTTACTGCCACTGTCATCCTTGCCCGTGATCAAAGTATCCGGATGAAAGAGGTTGCGGTAGCAGCCGGTACGGATCTCATCTGGAAGGGCAGATCCAAATTATACCACACATTCCAGTGCTGTGGTGCAAACATACCTATGACTGTGGGCTCCGTGTCGATCATGACAAGTCGAGGCTGCACGCACGGCTGATGGCTGGTGAACTCAAAGAACGTGAGGAACGAGTCGTCCACGGGCGACTGGGTTAGTCTTCCATTGGCCAGTATGCCGTGCTCCAGGCAGAAGAGCTCCCAACAGGCGTTGGCTATCTGCACACCGGCCTGGCCAATGTGGATCTGGATGATCTCCCCCTTTCCGGACATGTGTCATATCTTAATTTAAACCATTAATTTCCTATCTGTGGAGAGATAGTTTTCCAAAACGTACTCAAACCAAACTCTTGACAATCTGAACTAGGGAAACTTGCCGCACAGCTGTATAAGTACATAACATTGATTTATTGTCCGCGCGCGGATTAATCAGTTTTCGAAGCGTTGGATACGTGTAGATACAATTTATTTGATATACAGATATATTCTTATACTTAGTTAGGTGATTCCGTGCTCGAGTACGTTGCCGTTGTAAATTGGAATGTGTATGATGTCAGAATTGAATTGTAATCACCTAGTCCTACAAAAAATCCATCTGTATCTGTATGCAGATACGTACATATCTCTGTGTATAATACAATTGCAGTCGCGAGGTCAAGCTACGTAAATAATTTACAAAATATTAATAAAATAAAACCAACACTTTCGGTTTGGGTAGTGCAAGGACTAGAGTTTACAAATTTATACACCTGATGTCTAAATGAGAACAGCACAGTGCATTTTACAACTATAAGTAAGTACGAAAGGCAATTAACAAACTGGCTTAAAAAGTAAAGTTTCAGGGTAAAACTTTTTCAAACGTTTTCTTTTTGACTAGAGGGAAAATGTGGCAAAGGAATTGCTAATACTTTACTAGCATGTTATTCGATAAGCCCTACACTGAAGGTTCATCTTTTAAAACTTAATGTATAATGTAATCAAATATATATAAATTAGAAAATCAAACAAATAAATTAGTAATCAAGACGATTGGCTTGCTCTAAAGCAGTAGCACATAAAAGCTCTTAATTGTTGGAATAAAATGCGTCCCTAGTCCTAAAATGCACCGTCCTCTTGCTATTCTTGTTAATTTTTTGTTCTCAAGTTGCTAATTTGTTCAAGGCTTTGTGTGGACTATCTAAAGAAGGGACTGTTCCAATAGAATACGCTCGAATCCAGGTGGTGGTCCGTGCGAAAAATTGTCCAGGATGATGTCCAGAATAGCGCCATTGCCCACTGAAAATGGTAATTAGGGCCAAGTGTCTCTTAAGAGTGCGGAAACTTACCATAAATGACGGGAAAAAGTGCTGCTCCTCGTACATTTCGGAAGGGAACCTCCAGGTTCTTTCCATTAAAGTAGAAATTCAGCTCCACATGGTCAAAGGCGACGCCCACAATGTCTCCCTCGTCGGGAAAGTCTCGCTGTGGCGTTGCTATCAACGAATCACCCACATCAACATCGGATGGTGCCACCCCAGTGGTCATCAGCAGATCTTCCTGCTGCAAGTCCTCGATGGCGATGAGTCCAGCCGCCTTGGCAGCGCTGTTGTTCAGGATTCCATTGGTCGTTCTAGCCGGCTGAGTGGTGCAAGCAGCCTGCACCACAGGTCCGAACTCCTCTCGATCATTGTGGCGTGTGGCATTATCGGAGCACAGGCACCAGGACTCCCGATCCCCGCCGCCGCTCTTGCGGCTGAGATCCGTTTGCCGCGTCGCCAAGCCCACCGACCAGCTGCCTCCGTGTTGGATCTTCACCTCGAAGTAGGACTTCGACTGGACCAAAGGCGCCGTGGCCAGGACGCCTCCAGTGCCCGTTACGCGCAGCTGGTGCGACAGCAGGATAACGTCGGGTCCTGCAAGTGGATGATATATGAAGCTTATTGAATTAGAACGGCAGCACTTCTATAGGGCTGCATATATCACTATCTGATCACGTTTCTGATGTTGACGATTGAACTAGGAACGCAGATATCTTTACTGGCATCACCTTCTATGGAAACTGAATATCTTTTGGAAAATGAATAGGCGCTACTTCGGAATCGCTTTAGTTGACCACTAATATGATAGAGCTGCTGAGTCCTTCCAAATTGAATCTAATTTTACCCATATGCGCTGCATCCAGGTGAACATCGGGCTCCCGGAGGCGACTGGTTGCCGTGGGCTTCCTCATGTGTCCTCCATTGAGACAGGTGCGTAGGCAGCAGAACATCCCCAAGTCAATGATGTTTTTCCGACTCTGCTCGTGTGATCTACTTTATTTGCTTTTTAAAATTCGCTAATAATTTTCGCTTCTTTGCTTGGTTTTGTTTTTGTAAACAGCTGTTTACGCTGCATATGGTCATACTGAATTTGCATTTTCTGGTATATGTAAAAAATCGGGTAAAAAGTGATAGCTGCTAACAATGAATAAATGCAATAAAATGCAATTAAAGCATTTACAAATTATTTATACAACTTTATAATTATTTCAATGTTTTTCCGCTAACTTCGTTTGGCAACAGCTACAAAAATATTAGGTTTGACCTAGCGCCACCTATCTTTCACTGAGGTGAATGTCGACCGTTGTAGTACCTAAAATGAACGACAAGAATAGATAGGAAAAATGGCGCTAGCCATTGTTCGACTTAAATTATTTGAATTTATATGCAAATTAGTGCAATAACGTTAACGTTTTTTAAATTTATTTCGTTTGATGCAACGGAAACAAAATATAAATTCGCATCCCACATAAGCCTCAGCTGCTTTATCTCCAGTACTTAGATTAATATAATAGAAATAAGGTATTTAAAAAACTTCAAAAAGCTTTTTTATTTTACTTCTGAGGGAAGTTTGCAAATTGCCTTTGTTAATCCAGATGCTACTCCTGCTCGGCGCACTTGTCGTAGTTGGTGACCAGCTGGCGGTACAGATTGGATACCCTGGCGCTCTTGTGGCACACGGTTCCACCACCTCGTTGCAACTGACTTTGCTGCCGGTTGATGTCGCCCACACAAATCCAATCCCCGCCGCCCACTCGCCAGTGGTAGATTAAAATGCCTGTGGGGCGAGAAACCGCCCACTTGGAGTGGTCCTGGGTGGTCCTGAAGTCCACCGATAGCTGCGGATTGGAAATGGACTCCACGTTGAGCACCTTGTCGGACTTGTCGCAGCTATTCGGCAGATTGCCGGCGCCATCGCGCCACGCCTCCACGAAAAGACTGACATCCAAAGCGGGGGCCACCACATCGGCGTACAGCTCCACATTGGCACGTCCACTCTTCCCAAACAGCCGGAACTTCTTGCCATTTAAGCTGCGCAGCTCTACGTCCTTCTGGAACGGCGATTCCGTACGCCACTGGCCATGCAGAGCTCTTTCCAGGCTCGGGAACAGTTCATCGGAGCGACTGACCAGCGGATTCCGCTGGTAGTAGAAGTGCGGTTCATTGTACACCAGAATCTCACCCACCTTCTCCAGATCCTCGGCCTTCAGAGTGATGCAGAGCATGCTCTGTGCGTACGTCTCGCCGGAAGTGGGATACGTGTAGTCCGGGACCGTGGGATATTTGGGCACAGAGTGCACAATCCAAATAGCCGTCTCCCCGTCACTGGCCACCACTCCTTTGGCGTGACCTCCGTTGCTGAAGACAGTGCCATTCGGCTGCTGATCGTTGTAGGCGGCCAGCAGAGTGTGGCTGGGATCGGCGTTCAAGGGGTTAATGGTCTGGGCAGGCAGCGATAAGGGGTCGCTGATGAATTTCCCCGACATCTGCCAGGTGTCGTAGCTCTGGCTGGTCACGTACAGGTACTTCAGGCCACTGGTGTCCTTGCCCAGATCATTGTCCTGGTAGTGCTTGGGCAACTTGTAAAGGTGCCACCTAATGAGAAGTAATATATCAAAAATGTATGAGAGAAATAAGAAACACCTGATAACTTTGTTCTATAAGCCCTAGAAAGAGTATCAAATAATTATTAAAACTATCTAAAAATGTATAAGACTTGTTTTGAACTAATTTTCTATAACTCAAACAAAAATGTTACCATGATTCGCCAATTCAAAAACTACGTAATGCTTTGATTTGGGAAACAACAAAATATGAATTGCTTTTTAATTTTTTTGTGACATTGTATTTGATCATTTGTTTGCCCGTCTAAAATTAAAGTCATTATATTAAATTTGTATTTCCCGTTTGGTTTAGAATAATCAGCACTGTCTGTAAATAATTTAAATACGTTGTGTTTGCAAATTGTAATGATATGCAAACAGCGACTTCAAAGAAATGGGACATGCATGGGAAAAGTCAATATTTATAAAAGACTTGCTGATTGGCCAACACATTTACTTAAGAACTTCACTAATTTGGTTCGATCTGCTAACCGAGTACTCACCAATCTACATCGTTTCCAGCTTCATCCTTACAGGAAACCTTTGACTTGGCTTCGGTTTGGCAGACAAGCCAAACGATCAGCAAAACGAAACACACAGATCGCATTGTACAACCTCCAAGTTGCTCGTCCGGAAAACAACTAAATGAGGGACAACGAATCCAATCCAATCAACGTCTGTGCTCAAACAGGGTGTCTCAGCCGCAGGGAGATATTGTTCTCCATCTTTTTGGATTTCTTCTCCAGGTAGCAAGGTTGAGGCAAATGAAAGTTGGGGTCCTTGCTGTTTGCCTGCTTTATCAGCAGTTGGATTTGTAAATAGAGACCGTGGGTCGGTTTTTACCCAACCTATCGCCAGATTGTCTGCTATCTGAGGGGTCAGTCACCATGCCACAGATCAGTCGAACAGAGCGATTGCTGATAAGCCAAGCAACGCAACATGCGGCTATAACGAATATAGTATACCCTAATAACTAGGTAATTCAAAATGATATTGGCCTATCTGAATCCCACAAGAAATACCAATCCTTGCGAGTCGATCCGACTTTGCAATTATCACCCCATCCATCTGACGGCAAAAGAATTCCATTTCTTTACAATTACACAAAACAATTGTTAAAGTTTTTATTTATTATTCGTATTATATTATAATAATTTGTCGCCTGCTGAAAACTGCGATTTGTTGCTCTGCTACCCTTTGCAAAGCAGGGCATATCGTTTGTGCCTTCCTCCTCGATCGTGTTCGCATGAAAATATTATCGTTATCAAATTGTATAATTTGTCTTGCGGGCGAACCCATCTGCTATTATTGAATTATACTGGAAATAATCTGCCTGGTAATTTAATTGAATTCAACTTCGTTAGTTCTTATCGCTGGTGGCTGTCTGTGAATATGTTGTTCACCTTTCATTCTGTTTTGGATTTCATCTGATCTGATTTAATCTGTCGGTTCTATTCTGCTTTTTCTTGTCAATCGAGAGTCACTGCCAATCGGTTGGTATTGCCATTTGGATTTATATTTAACTTAGGTGTACCGATTTGTTATGTCGTTTCTTTGGTTTCGTATGCAACAATACATTTAAACTCACAATACAATATTTTCGCTAAATATTTTTTATGTTTTTGTATCAATTTTTTATAGTTGTTAATAATTTATTAATATTTTGTATGGTTTTTCATTTTTTTGGTTTTTCAAATATATATATAAAGAACAAGGCTGATATTTATATTTATATATATACGAGTTTTGTTTCTGCTTTATGTAAGTTTTATAATAATATTTAGCTATACGTTTTTGTTTTCATTTGCTTGAAAAATCAATTTGTTTTTTTACAATATTAGCAAAAGATCTTGATTCGATTTGAAAAAGAAAGTCGTACTTGGTTTCGCGAAAATGTTAAATAAATGAGCCTCAAAATAGACAAATATTTGCCATTTCTTTTAGTTTTAATATCTCAATTAATATTAATCATTATTTTCGTATTATTTACGGATAAAAGTAGACTCAACTGTTGAGTTATGCAAATAAAATTGCATTTCCCGTTAGACTTTTGGTATATTTAATAATGTTATCATTTTCCTTCTTTGTTACCTTTGAAATTTGCTGCGCCTAATTTGCGGCTGCTTCTCATTAATATATATTGTGTATATATATGTGTATATATAGTTTTAATCGGGCACGAGTTTGATATGTTTTGACTTGTGTTATCTTCATTTATCTGACGGTATTTCGATACCTCTCTGCCTTGATATTTTCAATATTCAATATCAGTTTCCTTTCCTACTTAACCCTCTAAAGATACTATACATATGTCTGTCTGTATATAGATATAGATATGCATAGTACTTAAGTATTACAAATGTACAGCGATTTTCTCAGACCTGCCAGGTTGAGTTCAATGCCTTCTAGTTGGCTCTCCCGCAAATGACTCAAATCTTTAAGTGGGGAGAGATGCATATATGTGGTATAATATACTCGTATGTACGTATGTAATTGTATAGTTGGTTTTAATTTTCTTGCAAAAATGTTCACTAATTCAAAATTCGTTTCTTCAAAGGTTTATCGCTTGTGTGTGAGTGGGAACTCAATGAAACAATAATGGGTTTGTTTAACGAACAAAATATAAAGTTTTATTATGCGTAATTAATACCGTCAATTGAAAATTTCTAAGTTAAGGCTACACAAATGATATAAGTATATTTATATAAGGGTTTATCATAGAGGTATACCATACATATACATATAAATTACTTAGAAATTAGTATTTAATTGATTGTAATTTTAGGTTTTTAGGCAAACATAAGGCAATTTCGGGGGCAACTTAAACTAAACAAAAATCAATCAAGTATTTTCGAGACACAAATTATAGCCGTACAATAAATACAATAGAGTAGGATATTTACTGTTACTGCTTTATCGTTATTTTTACTGTTACTGTTGCTGTTACTGTTACTGTTACTGTCTTTCTATTACTGCTGTCACGTATGTAGATATGACATTACTAGGTAAGCATATAGCTAGCATTATGTAAGTAGTTCCGTAATCTATTACTAAGCTTTCAATCAGTTATGCTTGCTTCCCCCTTATTTTTTGGTAACTGCTTTCTGCCTTTTTGCGCTTACAATGTTTAAAAATTTAAAAACCACATCAAAACATATCGGCTTTATGTTCCTTAATAATGTTTCTTGTAAAAGTTTCTTCTCATTTTGTTCTTTATCCATTTGCTGATATGTATTTGTTATTTTTTCTTCCTTTGTAATTATTAGGTTTTCGTTTGTTTCAAAAATGTTTTAATATATGCGTATGTATATTCATATAATGTTCCCATAATTCATATTGTTTAGTTTAGTTTTTCTTTCATTCATTTTAGCTTTCTCTAGTTTATCCATTACGAGCTAGATCTTCATCTTCTGTTGTTTTCGAGATATTCTCAATTTTTAGTTTAATATTTGCCTGCTGCAGATTTGTAAAATCTGGATGTATATAGACCTATGAAATTTAGATTAAAGAATGTCTGGAATTCAATCCTCGAAATGGTTTTTAGGGGGTGGGGACTGAACAACCTTGCCAACGCGCTGGTTTTCCCTATTCCTATCGCTTTCTATCTTCAATGAAAATTGCACAAGATTTTCCCAGATGCACACACACGCACACACACTTGCACACTCACACACTTATGCGTACTTCCATTGCTTTTGTTGCATACTTTTGGGCTCTTCGACCACACTTAGGCGCTAAAAATTAATTTCGAAAATATTTGTTTCGTACATTAGCATCTATAGATTTTTGTTTCGTTATTTATGCTTATCTGTAGTTGTAAATATTTTGGTTTTCCATCGTCGGGCTTCTTGTTTTTTTTTCTTAATTGTTTTGAAAGGCGCAATTTTATGATATGCATTAGTATATTATGTATAATTAAACATTTCCTTGCTTACACACTAAAACTTTAACTAATTTACTTGTCTTTGTGGTGAGCGTGTGCGTGTGTGTGTGTGTTAGGATTACAGACTTATAAGTAGACCTCTGTTCTTAACTCCGAATGATGATGCCTCTCAAACCAACGCGATGCTGGCGAAGAGATGATATTTTTGGGCAAGAGGAAAGCACGAAATGTAATTGGACGGAATATGCATTTTACATTCGACTAAAGTTAGACGGGAAATAAAATAATTAAATATTAAAAGAAAAATTGTGTAGAAAGGGGCTAAAACAGTACCAATTAGTAAATGTTTCTCTTTTTCATATTTTCCTCTAACAATTGTGGTTTTTGTTTCAAATATGCCTTTGGTATGTCTAGTCACGTTTACCCTAAACTAAGCTTTAAAAACGTTTAAAATTAGTTGATTTACTCGTGGGTTTCCTCTGTTTTTGTTCAACAAATAGTGTGTGAATTGGTTAACATAACTTGTTTAATTAGTAAGGACAACTTTGGTAAAATTTAAAGATTTTATCCGTATATATATACTTATATTGGTTTAAACAAGGCTGAACGAACTCTTTCAAAAACCATTCGAAAATTATGATGTAAAAAGCTTGCTTACAATTTGTTTTCGTCTTTAACTATATATAGTTGTTAGCCTTTAAGCTTTACATTGTTTTATAATTAATTGTAGTTGGTTTCTGCTGTGTTCTTGCGTTTAGTTACAATAGAATTTGTCTTCGTCCTTTTCTGTAGTCACACATACATACTCGACTTATGCTTTGCTACGTAAGATGATATGCCATTGATTTTATTTACTCGTCCTTGTTTGCTGTTACCTCTTAAACACTCTCCCCACCCTCACACGGTATCCGATATTCGATCCCTCCTCACCCGATCTCGTCCTGCCTCCTCCCCCCACTAAATCGATCGTTGGTTTAGCAAGAAATGTGATTTGATTGTTCTAGCATTTCGAAAGTTGGTTAGGAATAGTTTCTCATTATGTAGATGGAGTCCTGCAGATTGGGGCCTCTAGTAAAGTTCAAGTCTTTGTAGGGGAAACGCAGAAAATGCTCAACCAAAAGTGGCGAAGGAAAACATAGTGTTCTGGGCGGAAAGTTTGGAGTGTCCTGTGCCAGTTTCAGCATTTCTTTGTTCTTAAAAAACGTTTTTTCGAGTCTTTGCTTCACTACAGTGCACGTGCAACGTTCATCCCATATCGTCGATAGGTCCTATCGGGTAAATTTGAAATTCACATTTAAATTTTGTTATGCTTACGTTTGTAACAAATAAATTTCGAAACCAGCTTTCAGTATTCCTCAATATAAATTTAAATTTATACGATGACGTCGACTACTCGTTGTGGTTGTTTTGTAGAATTTTCTTGTTGAGTAACATTTTGAAAATTTACCTTACTAGTTATACAATTATTACATTAATGCATACATTTAAATTGTTTTCTTTTGGTTTTGTTTCATATTACTTTTCATAATTCTAGAAAGAGAGCTATTTAAAGGGCACATTCGGTTAAGCTATAATTATATACTTTTCTTCCTCCCTACACTTTGTTCATAATTTATTCCCTTACGCTGTTTGATATATCGAAAATTATGAAAATTATAAATTATGAGATTAATACGAATTTCATGTCTCAATTCCTTGTGTTAAAAGTCGGTTAGGTTCGGGTTTGAATGGGGGAAAAGTAACAATAAGAGAACGCAAACAAAAGTTTCAACAAAATCAATGCATCAGCTACAAAAAAACATTAAATGGATATAAAATAACCAACAAATTCTCGATCAGCTTGCTATATATATATTTATATATATATATATATGGGTTTATGTATATATGTGTATTCGTTTATAGGGGGATATGCGCTGTATTGCAACTAACTTAGTTAAGTAGTTCGCTCAGCTTTCGATCTATGGTAAATTGTATATTTTACTACAAGTTTATCCCGTTTTTGGTTTTCACTACAAATCTTTTGTTGCCTGTCGAAAAATTTCACTAAACTGGGTTAAACGGGCTCTGCTGATTCCTCGCTGTCACATATAAATTAACTTCTTTTTGCATTTTTGTTTTGTTTTTAGTTTTTTTTGGGTTTTTAAACATTTTTTTTTATACCTAGAACTAAAGGTTCTTACTTCTCGCATGAATCCGTTGCATGCGGAGCTCTTTGCCCTCGATTTTCAAACTCAAATGTGGCTGCTTCAGGCTGCTATGTGACTGACTGCCGGCAGCACGTACGAATAGATGTGGTGCGGCTGCAACTGCTGCTGTTGGTGGTGCGGCTGGTGGAGCTGATGTGGGTGGTGGTGGTGCGGCGGCGTCGTCGTCGTCGCGTAGTGGTGGCTCAGTGTGCCACCGGGTCAGGTTGCTGTCGGCGTCATCAAGAACTGCTGCTGATGGTGGTGATGATGGTGGTGGTGGTGGTGGCTCAGGTGTTGCTGCTGTGCCTGCTGCTGTTGCTGCTGCTGCTGTTGTTGCTGCTGCTGCTGGTGGTGCTGGTGGTGCGCTGTCTGGTGGCTGTGGTGGTAGTGCTGCGCTGCTGGGTGGTGGTGCTGTTGCTGCTGCGTCTGGTGGTGCACTTGCGTCTGCTGTTGCTGCAAATCGCGCTCTAGCTTTTTAGCGAGCAGATCATGCCGTGATTCCATACCCGCTCCTCTGAAAATAAGTTTCAAAGAGAGAGCCACAATTAGTTTTTGTCAGTGTAAGTGGTCCAGCTACGGGTATCGGTGGTGCTGGCTATTCTAGTGGTTATTTGGGAACTACTCATGCGTGGGCCTAACTTATTTTTAAACCACTTTTGATAGATTCCAAATTTATTTTTATTTTACTTATTCATGGAAAATACTAAACAGTAGGATAGATGAACGAAAATTATTTTTGTAAAGCGCTAAAATTAACAAAAAATAGATGATATAGAAATACCTGTTAAAGTGGAATAAGGGAATCTAGTAAATCATTTTTTAAGCAGTAAATAATATCAGCAAGTTCATGCGGGTAAGAAAATTTTCATTTTAAGGCTCTGTTGGACTTGTACACTTTATGAAACTGAAATTTCCAGTTGTTAGTGATACAATTTATGGCATCTCGGGCATGTTTACCCCTCAAAATGCAAATTGATTTGCAAACAACCTACAACAAAGTAAAGGAAAGATCACGCCTTGAACAAAAGTGGTTTAAAGCTCAAACGTTTAAGTTGGTGGGGCAGTCAGGTGGGTTCTGTGTATGGAATATGGGTGTGGCATGCCGCGTTTAATTTTGCATTTTTTATAAAGTTGCTGCCACTGCTGCTGTAGCCGTTTCTTGCAGCAAATTGAAAAATATATTTATGTGGCCGTTTGGCATTCGAGTACGTGAGTCACACCCCGCACTCTGTGGAGATAGCGAGGAGTGGTTAGTGGGGCAGTCTCCCAGCGGAAGCTGGCATTTAGGAAACGGATGTCTATGAGGAATTCCCAGCAGCACCTCTTTTGGCCTTCGCCCCCTCACTCCACCTCGTTATGGCTGCCAACTTTCTGTGTGCTACAATTTGCGTTTAAATGCGGCTCAAATTGTTATGGCTAAGTGAGTGTGCGAGTGCTGCGGAGTACGGGCCAAACTCATATGGTTTTGGCCATCCCTTAGGTAGGTTCTTACTTGTTGTTGCTGATTGCTGCTGGATTGTTGCTTGCTGCTCATGCTGCTGCTGTTGCTGTTGTTGTGGTGTTGGTGGTGGAGGTAGCATGCAAAGTAAACGGGCAAGCTTAACAATAACAATTTGCAAAATTTTATAAATAGTTAATGGGCTTGCCCCTTTTTATTTGGATTTGGGTTTCGGGTTCTGGGTTCGGGGTTTTTGTTTGGGGTCATGCATGTGAGGGACTTTCGGGCCTGTGAAAACCTTTTTGCGGATTGAAAGGCTTATTCTAATATTAATGGGCTAAGGGCTAAGCGTGTGTGCAGTTTAGTGGAGCAACTTAATGATAATGATAGGGTTAGATTACGCTACACAGACATAGAAGATACTTGGTTCATTTGGTTCACCCAGAATAATACATACGTCTCTAAAGAGATGATTTTGGTGGTGCTGATTTGGATGATGAAGTTGGTGGTGCTGTAGTGAGTTAACAACAACGCTAGTGGTGCTGCTGTGGGTGGTGGTGCTTGCTGCGGTGCAGGGTGCAGCCACGGTCAGTTGGAGTTGCTGCTGCTGATGCTGCTGATGTTGCTGCTGCATGTGCATCTGCTGCTGCAGTTGCTGCATCTGGAGTTGCTGCTGCTGCTGCTGTGCCGACGGCGGTGGTGCAGGGACCAGCAAGTGCTCCACCCCTCCGCCGCCGTTCAGGATGTACATGGGTGCTGGTGGTGGCGGTGGTGCAGCAGCAGCAGTAGCAGCAGTGGGTGGTGGTGGTGGTGGCGGCGGTGCCTTGGTGTTCATGATGGTCACCTCGTTGATCATTTTGCTGCGCGCAAACTCGATGCGGATGGAACCGCGATCCGAGCTGAGCAGATATTTACCCTGCATTTGCTGCATGGCCTGAGACGCGGTCGGTGGGTCCTTGAACTCGATGAATGCCACCGGATGTTGCTGCACCGCAGCGCTGTTGTGGTTGCTGTTGCTGTTGCTGCTGCCACTGCCGTTACTGGTGGAGCAGCTTGAGCCAGTTGCTGTTGCCATGGCTGGTGGTTCAGGAGCAAGCGTAGACATAGTCGCATTCGCATTCGCAGTCGCAGATGTGGTTGTTGTGGAGTAGGAAGTTGAAGTTGGTTTGTTTGAGGTCAGAGTTGAAGACAAAGTAATAGGCATAGAATTTGTGATTGGGTGCGTACCTTTTGTGTGCATTCGTAGGCGACAAAAGCCAGGCATACTGTGCATATTATTTATCATAGTTGGGTATATATAATTTGTTGTTAGATATATATGTCGGTTATCATGTATCATACAAGAAGAGTGATCGGGTGGGATGGTGGGCAACAAACGAACCAAGGAAGAGAACGCAAAAGTTTTCGGTTAGTACTCGGTTAAGAAAGTTCACAAAGTGCCATCAAGAGTGGTGGTTGTTATGGTGGTATGGTGTGTTCGTGATCGTGATCGTTATCAGGTGGTTTATACTGTGTGGTGATGGTTTCCAGTGATCCCAGTGCAGTTTTCATTGTGTCTCAAAAAGATTACAAAGTTTGTTTGGCGTTATACGTGTGCAATTTACCTAGAGAACACCTCCTTCAGCTCGTGCTCGGACACGAACTGCCCCAGATTGGCCACAAACAGCGTGGAGCAGGGCGCATTGGCCGCGATCTGCGGATTGCCCGGATGACTGGCGTTGTTCGTGGATCCAGCCGGGCTGGCCAGCGCCGGACTCGACAGATAGTGGTGGTGCGAGGCAGCAGCGGCTGCAGCGGCACTTGCAGCGGCCGTCGCAGCAGCACTCTGCGGTGCCGCAGCAGCGGTGGCCGCGCCCCCACCTCCCCCAGCTGCTGCAGCTGCCGCAGCCGCAGCCATGTGAGCCATCGCAGCTCCGGGATGAATAGCAGTTGTCTGATGATGTGGCGGCATGGTCATTTGAGTCTGCAAAGTGGGGAAATAGTATTAATAGTTTATTTTTAAAGTTGTGGTTTCGTGTGATCCACTTACTTGATGCATCGGCTGCTCCATTACTTTGTCTGTATTTAGTCAGAGATAGGAGCGCACTGGCACCTGCGGATGCAGGGCCGGATGCACTAGTGTTGCATGCTGCAGTGCAGCAGCTCCTGGCAATTCGGCGGCGGCGGCTGCCGAATAGGCTAGCGGATGATGCCATAGCTCCGGTCCGCCCGGAAAGAAGGGCCCGCCCAGATCTGCGAGTCGAGAAGAGAAATAGTGGGGTAAATCAGATGGCAGCTCACCTAAGTGGGGTACTAATTGAGTATTAAACACTGGTTTTAGTTGACAAAAATCTAAATGGTAAAAACAAGAACGGTTTCCAAACGAAAAAAAAAATATATTAAGAAATGGTTTTTTATTTTTAAAGTTCGTTGCCTCAGTCTTTTGTTAAAACTTCTTATATGTCAATGGCTTTATGGCTCTAAAGTTAATCTCTGTAAGTTAATTAACTGTTTAAAATATTTTGTAGGATGGCGATTTAAAAGCCTATTTACTCAGTACTAACTTTAGCTCTTTGACTTATTTTTTTCTGTTTTTTGTAGGCGTGTATGGTCTTTTTGTGTGTGAGTTGCACAAAGTGTGGCAAGTGATCAAAGTGCAGTACATTATATATAGATGTAGTTATCGTGGCTGTAACCTAGTTGGGAATATAAATATAACTCAATAGCGACTCGAAGTATGCAGAGATAACAACTTGATATGGTAGATATAGCATACAAAAGTATTTACGATATATATTTGCTAATATATATATGTATATGTATATATTTTAAGTTGTGTGCACTTGAAGCTAGTTTGGTTTTGTTTTGGTTTTGTTCGTTTCCATATATAACATTTTCAACTGCTCAATTGTTGGATAGATCGGTGTTACAGTGTGCGAGTGTTCGGTGTGTTTGCTGTGTTTGTGGTGTTTGGTGTGTTTGTGTGTCAATAGTTAGGAGGAGGTGCTCGAGTACGCCTTCGGTTCGGATTTCTTGTACCCTTAAACATACTATCGGTATTTCATAGATATCAACTACATACACAAAAGGAAAACAAAACAAACTCAAAGAAATTAGCAGCTGCCGAGTTCTCATTTGCTATTTGGTTTTACTTTTGATAATTTCCTTTACTGTTTTTATATTTGTTTTATTTTTTGTTTATTTTTTACTTACGTCCAGTGAGTGGGTGCATCAATGCAGGATGTGAGGCTGTTGTCGCTGTATTGGGCTGTGGTTTGGGTTTGCTCACTTTCGTGTTACTCTTGGCGAATTCCAAGCGAATTGTTTGGGGCATATCGGGATCGAAGCGTACACCCTGCTGTAAATGATCAGATCAAAATACAGCGGTTTGTATTTTCCATGGTTTTCTTTTTTCAAGTAATTTATTCTTTCAGCAAAGTTCAAAGGTTTCGTGGGAGTCTTTTCAAGTAGTTCTTTTGCAACAATTCGCCAAAAATAATTTTGAATGTCGCGTGAAAGTAACGTTAACAAAAAAACCGTGTTCAAAATTGTGTTTCTCCTTTTCTTTATTTGGAGAGCTATTGCTTGGGGTTTCTGGGGCGGAAGACATTCAACGTAGAATTTGTCGGAAATCTGAGTTTTGGTTTTGGGGGTCGTGACAGCTGGTTCTGGCTAAGTGTGGCTATGAAGTGGGGTCTTTGTGGAAAACATTTTGAGTCGGTACAAGCCCTAGCAATTCTTCAAATCAAAGTTCAATAAATATTACTAAAATCCTATACTGCTTTTAGGAAAATCGTTTTTTAAAAGAACTCAGTCTGATTTTTCTAAACAACTGCCAACCATTATTTCATATTTGTTACTTTAAAAAAAATTTAGAAAAAATATGATTTGGTGCTAATTGCTTTATAGGAATATAGTCTCTTCACACCTTAAAAGATGTATATATAAAATTCATTTAAATATATAAGAAATGTATCTTTGAACAAAGAAGATGCTATCTGCTCCTAGTTATATTGCAATGAATCAAAAATGCTTTCAGATTGAGGGTCGTCAGGATCTCCAAGGATAATTATAAGTAGTTTCAAGGAACTTTGGGGTGCACTTCCAGGGGCGTCTGGCTTCAGGGGGCGTGGCTGGGGGACATGCTCCACAGGCTTGAGACGTTGCTTTCTGTTTGTTGGTGCTTTTTGCTTTGCCATTTTGCAGATTATTTGCCAGAGATGGAGGTGTGAGTGTGGGTGTGATGAGTGTACCAGTTTACGTGTGTATTTGTGTTCTCTGCGTGTCAGAAAGTTTTCGTAGAATGAGCAAATAATAGGGAGGGGATGCAGATACCAAAAACAATAAGACAACTCAATGGCAAGTTAGAGAGATATGTAGAACGACAGAGAGAGATATAGAGCTAGAGATAGAGATAGAGATACATAGACAGAGCGGGACAGCAAAGGCTAGACAGAGAGGGAAACACTTAATGCGATTGGGTGAAATATAAGATTCTTTCTTTCAAATGCAAGCACGTGTTCGTGTGGATCGTTGTTTGTTTGTTTGTTCGTTTTTTGTTATATGCTATCACTTGTTTTTTGTTTGGTGATTTTTGATTTTGGGTGATGCAAAAGGAGCTTGAAGCTCGATTTTTGAGCGGCAACGGGGGCCTAAAGGTATTTAAGCCAGGCAATACGAGTATACAAGTATTTTGATAGTTTTCGCAGTTTCAGTACTTTTTCATTGGGTGCTTTACAGTTCTTATGTTAAATGTGTACGTTTTATTTGCTCTTGTCGCTGAGAAAATATTTCTGGGATTTTCTTTTTGTCGCATTGCACATAAAAATTGCTAAATCATTTGGTGTTCTTTCGATTATAAAAGGTACAGGGATGTAGGTGTATCTGGTGTGCATATTTACCTGCAGATCCTGTTTAGCTGCCTCAGCTCCAGCTCTTGTATGGAATGTCACAAAGCCAACGGGCTGTAAATATTTATGCAAGTTGTTAAAAACATTGAAAAGCGTTTGAAAAGTAAAACGAGAAATTTGCAAGCAGATTTAATCAATGATAATATTTAAGTTTGGAAGGAAACGTTTACTCACCGATGCAGTTTTGCCATTTTTGCTAGTTACTTTCAAAAGAGATCCTTCATAGCCCTGTAGGTGTATAATTGATGTATCAGAGAAGGGTTTATTTAGTTTTTAGATAGGAAACTCACCTCGTAGGCTCTGAATAACAAATAGAGCTCGCGCGGCTTGGCGTCCATGGGCAAACCACTGACAAAAAGTGTGCGAACCTGCAATGATGACAAGATATAGATAGAGAATCGTTAGATGATTGCCAGTTCGCAAAACCAATTTCCCATGATTACATAATTAAGTTGAAACTGTCACGTTGTCGCTGCGAAAACACAAATACAACCTTCAGCCTCAATTTTCAACTTCAAATGTTTGTAATGCGCTTTGTGCCGCACCAAGCCCTTGCCCCTCTCTTTTGGCCAAAAAGTTCATGCCACCACCCCCTCGCCCCTCGCCCCTCACGCACACGACATTGCGGAGGGGGTGGCAAATGGGTGCGGTGGGGTCACATGTACCCACTGATAATGAAACCAAATGGAATAAGCGCCATAAACGCTGAATTCATTATGACAACGCCAGAGACGTGACTCTTGTTCGTTGGAGACAGGGGGGATTGGTGGGGCAGATAGGAGGAGGGGGCCAGGGGAATACGTAGGTGAGTCAGGTAAAACCAACTGACACACATGTGCTGTGCTGCAGGGACTAAATGAGTCCCCAGCTCTGACAGCTTTTTATTTTTAACACCTAGGCGAAAATGTTTGAGTCGAGGTGGCGAGCGTTACTTTTGAGCGATGTGAATACCGAGTGTGTGCAACTGGGTTACATTTCCGCTCCCTCCGCTTTCTTTCGTCCTTTTTCGGGCTGGTATTTTGTGCTGAGCGGGTAAATTTACTTTGTTGCTGGTCCTTAAAGCTGTAGAGTCATTAGCTTAAAGGTAAAGGTATAATGGTTTCGGGAGCAGCGAAACACAGCCGTCTAATCAAGAAAAACATGTTCTGCTTCACACAGTTAACCAGTTAACGCTTTTAGCTAATTTGAAGCATGGTGCATTGCAGCTCAAGGCGTTGCTTAAACTTAAATATTTTCTTCTTATTTGGGAACCAACTAGTTTACATTCTATACATTTCATTAGGCATTTCCTCTCCTATTCAAGTTTATTTCTGATTCCGATCAGGGACTCGACTGGCTTTTTAAAATGTACAGCTTCCATGACAATGAAGTTTACATTTTTCTGAGCAACTGATTTTTTCCCGGTTTTCATCCCCTGGCGGCGAACATGTTGTGTTCAAAATTAAAACGTGTTCTATCATTGCCATCTAGCTTCTTCTTTTGTTTTCCCTGCTGTAATCTACTGCAAACTCTGTCCTTGTGTGTTTTAAATTTGGTTTTATGGAAACAGCGATACAGGTTGGCAACATAACACTCATATTGTCTATTAGGAAAGTTCAGAGTAGCTGGATGCAGGGGAAAATCCTTCATTACAGATGAAAATTCAAGTGCAGCTAATCTGGATAAGAAACGCCGACGAGAGCAGCTTGTATTTGTTCACTGTCTCCTCGCAGAAATTCTCATAAATTAATTAGCAAAAGTCCTGCCTCAAACTCCAGCGGAAAAACAAAAACCAAATTCTGCTGGGGGAAAGGAAGAAAAGCCTAGGTGGTTTAGGAAAAGGCTGAGCATGGTCAGTTAAATAGCAATTTAAATTAATTTTTATGCACTAAGCGGTCGGCTAATTAAAGGCAATAATGAGGCTGCGGGTGGAAAAGGGCAGTCAGCCAAGTTAGCAGGCTAATTAGAAAAGAGCTGCTTGGAATTGGTGGCGGGGCTAAAAGGCTTTCCAGCTAATGGCAATTGAAATGCAATTATCAAAATGCTCCAGAAAGTGTAAATCAACTTAGCGTAAGTGCTGGAAAAGATGTTGAAGTTTTTATTCATTCTTGTTCGAGTTAAGACTATGAATTTTCCGCTTTTCCTCCCCCCCTCTCTGCCTATACACGGCTTTATCTCTGCGTCTCTGTCTGGGAACGTGGATTTGGATTGTGTGCGCTTGTGGGCATTGCGGATAGACATTTAGTATTTTGGCAACTTCAACTGCAATTGCAACTCCAACTCCGTCGGCCAACTCTCAACTTTAAATGCAAACTTTGGCTTACACATGCAAGCTACATATCGAAACACTGAGAAAAATGCCATTTAAATTATTACTGCTACTTAAGTACAAATATGAAAAACTAAAACTTACGAGTTTTTAATTCGATTAAGCATACAGTTCTTTGCTAACATATATATGTTTATTCCTTTTAACCTTCAATTTTGTAGAGCAATCTCTTCTAATTAAACTTCTCAGTGGTTGTGGCTGATTTCGATGCTGTGGGTGTTTTGTTTTTGTATCCGTATCTGTATCTGCAACTGTTGTTGTTGCACTTTGCGGGTTTGTCCAACTCCAGTTGCCAAAATCCATTTAAATACAGCAAAACTGTTGTTGCTGCTGCTGTTGTCTTTTGGTCAACCTTGCAACTTGGCTCTGATTTTGGCTTGCAAAACATGCACTCCACTCCCCCCTGTTGTCTGACTCTCTCTCCGTATGTTTATTTTTGCTATTTGCGGTTTGCTGTTTGTTGCCAAGAAGTTAAATTCCCCCGTCCCCCGTCCCCCCTCCCTTTCCCAACTCTCCCGTTTGCCGCAGTGCCTGCCACGCCCACCCCTTTTTGTCAGTTTATATTCCTTAGCCAAACTTTGTTTATAATTATGTCCGATTCCATTTGTTGTTCCGCCCGCAATTAATGTTCTAACTCTGGTGATTTAGCTGAGTATTCCATACATTGCGTATACGCAGTGTTGGCCACTGGGAGTTTGCGGTCGAACGGCGGAGGCCACCTTGTCTTTCAACAATGTTGGGCCAGCATAAACAGTGAAAATAACAACGTTTATAAATCACTCGGTAGTCAAGTGTTGACTTACAATAATTAAGCATGACATACACACTACCACATGCACATGTACCAGCTCAGGCCGCTCACTTACGCCCAAGCACCGCTGACGTGGGCGTGGCAATGGCATATAAATGCAAGCAATTTGCCGGCCATAGTAGCCTCCAATTACTCGAACGTGTTGCAGTCGCCGCTAAAACTATTTAGCCCCAACAATTTTGCATATAGTATTCCCATGTGGTGCGGATTAATGAGAGAGGCTTTTGAGCCACTTTTAAGCTGATTTGTTGCTGATTTTTATCGCTCGGCGGCTTTTTTACAAAGCAAACAGCATGGCTTCAATAGCTTTTAGTTTATATATGTAGCTGCTATTCTGGTAATTAAATTGCAATTGATGCGTGCTAAAGGCTGATGGCCATGTCGAATGTACGAAATGGAGAAATATTCGCATTTGATTGATGTTAATTTATTTGAAAATACATTTGGTTATAAATGAGCTCATTTAATCAAAACATATGCCACCTTTTTAGACGAATCATTTGAATTTTAATAACATTAGCTTACTGTGTGATTATGTTGACTTATAAATTATTCAGCTTATTATTCAGCGAATCAAACCGAATTTAATTGTGTAAATATTATCCAACATTTGACGTTGCACATATTTGCACTACAGTTACCTTAATTTCTACTGGCTGACTTTAATTAACAAATTGTGCTCAAGTTGTGTTTTCTGTGCTTTTATTCCGTTTTGTTAGTGTTCCATCAATATTTGCGTTACATTTTTTATTCGCATAGCTTGCACATATTGTATTTTTATGAATTTCCCCGCTGATGGTTTTTAGTAAAATCTGATCGCAATTTAAAGATGTTTTTGTGAGCGTTTTTGTTAACCTGATTTGTTCTATTTTCATGTCAAATCGGGTCAGGCCAAAGTCTTTTCAATAGTCTGCCTCTAGTTTTCAATCCATCTGATTTTCCCTTTTGTACTGTATTGCCTTCTTCCCTCGACTGTTAGCCAATTAAGTCGAGCATTTAGTCAACTCAAATGCCAGCGGCTAAAAGTTTATGTTACAGTTTGTTATTGTTGTGTTGTAGCTGCTGTTGCCGCTGTTGTTGTTATTGTTGCCAGCTACTTGTGTTTGCTTAGCCTTTCTTTGCTTTCTCCGCTCCTTTCTCCTTTCTTTGCTCTCGGCAGCGGAACAACAATAATAACAATAAGATTGCTTTGGTGGCAACAAAAGCAGCATCCGTGGAAAATCTTCAAGTGTGCTGCAGCAGCGATTGTTACCAGTAAGCCGGAAAAAGTAGCGTTAATAAAGGATACTTGGTGTTTTAATCGTTTTAACTTTTCATATATATTTTGTATAATTCTAATTTAATTTTTGCTAACTCCATAAACTTCTTAAAACAACTGGTAGTCATTAACGACTTTCGGACTAAATTAAATTGAAATGAAATGAGATGAAATATTTTCCCCCAGTGTAATCTTCAATTGTCGTTGCAAGTGGAAAATGCTGCAATGGTAGAAAAGAACTGCAACTAAATGAGTAAACCAAATGAATGAATGCATGTGGCTTGACTTTTGTAGTCCGCATTGTTGTTGCCTTCCATTGTATTGTATTTTTCCCTTTTTCCACCATTGATGTTGCTGTAGTTGCTTTGCCGCATTTTGCATACAAAATGTGAACTGAAGTCTCGGTGAAAAGGATAAATAAGAATACCAAATGGCTGCGATTGCCTGTCTCTGTCTGCATCTCTATTGCCGTCCCTGTCAATGGGTGCATTTCTTTGCGTTGCCACCGCTGCATCACAATGCCGAAAACGTTTTGTATTTTCCTCGATTTTCCTTCTCTCTTGTTCGCCCTGCCATTCGGTTTTGGCATTTAGCTCACGCGTCTGGCAAACATCGCGTATACGCGATGTGGATTGCTGGCTCCTTCCCATTCGCCGCTCCTCCTCCGCTCAATTAAGCCTGGTCGCGGTTTTAATCTCTTCACAATCTTAGTTGTTGCTTTAGCCTTGGTTTGCTTTGTTTTTGTTTTTGTTTAGCTTTGGCTTTGGCTCAGCTTCCAGCCATTGTTTAAGCTTGTTCCCCAGCCTTTTCTTTTCTTTTCTTTTCCTTTCTTCTCTTTTCTTCTGCTTTCAGTTTTCCTCACTTCTTCCCATTCCCAGTCGCCCCATCCTGGCTTACTTGTTTTCTTCTGGCGCATTTCTTTTCTTAAGCAAGTGAAACGCGGGGCGTTGCGGGTAATTAGCGCCTGTCGCCATTTTGCATTTAATTAGAG